TCCTCGAGAGCCTGACGAAGCTGATCTTCGGTATATTGAGGCATTATATATAGAAGAAGACATGTGCAAAAGATGAGCCCATTTGGACGCGAATTGAAAATGTTGTGATAAAAGGAGGTTGGGGGTGGGCATTGGGTTGTGGTGGATTTTCGCGTTTTTGTGGGTGCCAGAAACAAGGGGGGTGCCAGGAAGTGGGTATGTTGACTTATCATGCGCTCGAGTCTATTAGAATGACGGAGACCGAGAGTCAACAAACTCAATTGATAGACAAATATCTCGCTGGCGTCGCAGAAGCTTCTCATCACGAGTCTTGTATCATGACGTTGAAGTTAAGCGCCGGAAGGACGGCGTCAAATTCGCTCAACCACCTGATCAGATCATCACTCCAGAAGATGGCCCCACGACTCAGGGCATCAGCGGCGCTGCCGGTGGGCATTCTGTTCCTCAGAAGTTCGATTGCAAGCGAGAGCGAGTTCTGGCCAAGCCGGATTAGGATTGCGAAAAGAACAGCGGGGATTCGGGGGGGACGGGGAAAGCGAGAGATATGCGGGCTAGCTAATCACGGCAGTGTCTTGGCTTTCTCCGACCCCGTTCAGCCAACCCAGGATCTGCATTCAGAGCGTGGTAGGGGCAATAGGCAGCAAATTAGACTTTTTTGCCAAAGGACTGAACCTGACTAGGCTCGACTTATTCGCGGGTTCCGGCCGGCCAACACGTCGGGGTGTCGGGTTGGAATACGCGGATAGCTCGCTGTCTCTCCCTCAGCCCCCACGTGATGGCATGGCACTTTTCTCTTTGCAGTCTCTTCATGGAGATGGGTGTTCCTAGGAAAAAGGGAAAAGGGGACCGAAGTTCTGCATCTGACATAAACAATCATCGCAAATTGACTCCCCGCGATCTGTGAGGCGTTTTCATTGTACAGTCGCGACAACTCGACAGCCCTCTCTGTGAGCAGACGCAGATTGTCTGCTGAGAGCGCAATCTCACGCCCGATTCACTCACCGGCCTCCCGCTCACCTTTTTATGAGGGCCGTTCCGCGACATCCGACACCGTAGCAACCGCCAGGAAGAGGCCCCATCATCAACCCGTCCTCACAATCTCCGTGAACTGTCAACCATGACCGAGCCCTCGTCCGCCGACAATGGCGGCGGCATCGTAGGCCGCGTCCGGGGCGCGTCCCTCTCCATCATGAACGCGAACCCGCAATTAGGCATGTGGCAGGCCGCCGGCACAGCAATCGCCCAGGCGCCGAATCTCACCGAGCTCCGCGACCCCGAATCCGGCGGCGACAACATCGCCTTCACGGCGCAGGGCCACTCGGCGCGCTACGCCGTCCAGGAACCCCACGGCGACCTGGCGCTCATCCGATCCAACACGAGTCGGCGCGCGTCGACGTTTTCTATTAATGGGCAATCGTCTGCCGGTGGGCGAAACGTGTTTAACGACAAATCAGAAAATATCAGGGAAACGGACGAACCCGCTGTGCTGAATGAGACTTCGGACGAAGCACGGCCGGGGACGGGGACGCATGATGAGAGCCTGCTGCCCAGCGAGGGTCAGCAGTTCCAGCGGCGACAGAGTCTGTATCAGAAGCACGCGGCGGAGGAGAAGGCGCCGTGGAAGACGACCATTGTCAATGGGTTGAAGGCATTTTGGAAGTTCTTCCTCACGCCGTCAGGGTTTGTCATCACCATCTACTGCTTGAATATTGTCGTAAGTATTCGCACCTCAACTGCACGGCCTCTTTGCAAATGAGACATGCTAACATGAGTTGACTCTAGGCCTGGGGAGTAAGTTCACATCATGATGTATGAAAATGAAGCTGTCCATACTGACCCAGCCTCCCAGGCCATGCTCTTCTTCCTCCTCCTCAAGGCCGCACCAGCAATGAACTACCCAACCGCCGACGACGATAACTCACCCCGCAAGAAGTGGCTCGAAATCTCCAGTCAGATCCTCAACGCCCTCTTCTGCGTAACGGGCTTCGGCCTCGCACCCTGGCGCTTTCGCGACCTGTACTGGTACATCCGCGCCGTCAACTTCAAGAACCAGGCGGCGATGCTCAAGCTCGCGGCGCAGAATAAGAGCTGGTTCCGGCCGCCTGTGTGGGCTCTTCAGGGCGAGAAAGCGCCTGAGACGTTTACCGGCCAGGTCGCGCCGCCGACGGCGCTGTGGAAGTTGGGGTTCACGATTTGGATGATGGTTTGGAATACGTTCTTGCAGGCTGTGTTGTGCTATTTCATGTGGGGATACAACCGACTTGATCGACCTGTGAGTACCCTCTTTGACTCTACTAATGGGCGCTACATCGTAATCATGGTGTCAGACCCGACTTTGTGAATTGTACTAACAAACGAGTCCAGTCATGGGCTACTGGCACCTTCATCGGCTTGGGATGCGGTGTCGCTATGCTTGCCGGTCTTATGTCCTGGTGGGAAGGCCGGAAGGTGAAGCAGATTGAAGGACCAGAGGTCAAGGTCGTTGAAGGAGAGCCCGGAGAGGTGTAATGCATAATTTCTAATTTAGTGTTACCTGGCATAAGGTACATGTAGACATAGAGGTGGCCTGAGAGGTAGACTCAGCCTTGATTTTAGAGCGATGTGAGTTGCAGGAGGCAGCTCACGACTACGATGGATAATGATATGTAGATACAGCATCCGCACCCGAAGTCGCAGGCCTTCTTTTTGTCTTTCGGTCTTTTCAAGCCAGAGAGCTCTCAACATAATAGCTTGACAGTTTGGAGCATCGAAGTTCTGCCTATCGAGCTAAGTTGATGCCCCGGCTTAAGGTAACCTCCAGAGTAGTGAGTGTGAGAGCGCAATGAGGCTCATATGAGCTGCCAACAGGCTGATGAGTGAACTGCAGCAACCCAACGAACTCACCTGATAACTTGAACCCATATGGAAGTTTTGTTATTATGAACGCCATTTTATGACATTCAGGACTCATACAAAGTCATCATATTCGAGATCCAGTGAGCTTCCACATGTGAAAGTTTGAAGACAACCTTACTTACACTGATACAGGGCGATCTCACTGCTCTCCCACGCCCCTTTACACAAAGTTATGATTGACTTATCTAGACTTTCGATAATCGGAATAAGGTTAAAATATTACCATTCACACACAACTAATCGCATAAGAAGTTACGGGTATGAATATCGCGGCATGAACCAGACGTAATTCCGACAGCACGGGCATGGATATCGAGAGTACTTCCATTTCCACACGATAAGCGGCCGGACCAAAGTACCTCAAGATATAGCTGGCCTGTGCTTTTGCCACCCCACAAGCGTCACGCGGGATTGAATTAGTAGTCTCGCGATGCCTCGGATCTTCTTTCCATTATCTCTTTACTACTCGTCTTCATCTTCACTTCTTTTCACTTTTACTCTACAAACCAAGGCTCAAGCCGACAAGATGTCTATATCCCAGGCATCACTCTCGGTCGCAATCTTGGCCTCCACCATCGGAACCTACATAGGCCTCGTAAACCCCAACCCCGAACCACCTCAAAAACCAATCGACGACCTTCACCACCAAAACCACCATCACCATCACCAACCGCAAACCAAACACGCAGACTCGATCCGCTGGATGCACCTCACCCACAGACACACCCCCAAAGTAATCCTTCTCCCCCTCGCCCTCCTCTCCCTCCACCTCGCCGCCCTCACCCTCTACACACCCAACATCCCGCCCTCTATCCTCCGCCACGGCGCCGAAAACGGCCTCAGCGCCTCCCTAACAACCTGGTCCGCCTCAACCCTCCTCCCGCTCGCCGCAATCTTCTTCGCCGGCGTCCCGCTCCGCCTCGGGCCCTACCGCTCCCTCGGGAAAAACTTCACCTTCCAGCTTACGAAACCGGATCAGCTCAAGACGACGGGGATTTATCGGTACCTCCAGCACCCGAGCTACACGGGCGTCATCGTTCTCGTGCTCTCCAATGTCGCGCTGCTGGCTAGGCTCGACGGCGTGCTGAGCTGCTGGGTTGCGCCGGCGTGGCATCAGGGGTTGAGGAGCGTGCAGTGGGTTCTTGGGCCTGCTGCGTGCTGTGTGTTTTTGTTTGGTGTGTGGACAAGGGTGAGGGAGGAGGAGGGCATGTTGAGGGAGGAGTTTGGGGAGAAGTGGGAGAGGTGGCACGCTTCCACGGCGCGGTTTGTGCCGTATATATTCTGATTTGAGGCGTTTGTCTTATGATTATTGGGTTTGATATCCATGGTAGACTAGACTATTCATTTCGGACATTTACTTGATGACTTTGAATATGTGATTTCTATTTTGGACTCTTCCATCTCTGGGTAGATGTCGCTTTCAGCATGTCAGGCCTGGAATGGGCTCAATAGAAAAGTTAGTCTTCTTTTCTTCTCTCAACATTCCTCATCTGCCTCCATCACGAACTTGAAACCCATAACTTCAACTCCCAATACTTCATCTTAAAGACGACCAACTTCCCAGCCACCACTCACCTCTCTAAATAATCTCCGCTGCAAACCATCCCAGTCCCCAAGCTCCCCAAGTTCCACAACAGAATGGATCCAACCAACAACCAATCCACAACACCAAAAACCATGCATATTGCTCCACACCTAGGGCCACACACCCTCCACCACAGTTTGCATCCTTCCATGAGCACCTCACCATCGTCAAATCATCATCCAATCAACAAGGCAAGATGGCCGAGCGGTCTAAGGCGCTAGCTTCAGGTGCTAGTCAAGTAATTGGCGTGGGTTCGAATCCCACTCTTGTCAACCCATCATCGCTCTGATGCGTTATTCTTTTGTCTTTTTGGCCTTGGTGTGTGGGGGAGGTTGATTTTTGCAGTGTTGGGTGGATTATGGGTATACGTGACGATAGGAAGTGACTTGCAGGGTTAACCGTCATTGGACGAGTTGATGTAAGGAACAGTTGAGGTAGGTATGATGAAGTCGAAGTAGACATGCGGGCATGCTGGCAGACCTTCGCCAAGTGTCGTTCTCAAAGTCCTTGATGCAAGATAAATCAAATTGGATATCGGAGCCCCTTGAAAATCAAAGGACAGACTACCAATAACACGCTATCCATATCAACTCCAAACCGAGTTCATGCCTCGTGTTGTGCCATGCGTGACCACGAGTTCAGGCATCTCAAAGCTGCGATACCCCATTCTGGCGATCAAGTTTCGCCTTCTCCCTCTTGGCATCCGCAATCTTGATACTCAACTTGACAGGCTTGCCGCCCGGCGTCTCAAAGATGGTATCAATCTCCTCCAGGTTCAGCTTACTCGTCTCAGGGAAGACGTAGTAGCTAATGATAATCTGAATAAAGTTGTACACAATGTACACGGCCCAGATCTTGTACCCAACTTTCCCGACGCCGATGCCGATACCATAGTTGTGCACCACGGCCGCGATGGCCTGGAACATGGCAAACAGGCCCATGCCCTTGGCACGCAGCGGCAGCGAGAGCAGCTCGACCGGGTAGAGGTTGTGCATGGTCGCGATGAAGGTG